GTTGGGGCTTTTTGCATTAATTAAAATAACTAGTATACCTTAGAAGTCGTGTTGACCTCTTTTGTTCCTGATACCAGATTTGAATTGACGCGACTTTGACACTTGGCAGGTTTGTTGTGGTGCCATATTCTTTCAATTTTTTAATAATGGATTTAATGGTGCTCCGTGGGATTTTCAAAGTTTCAAAACTTAGTTTTTATAGTTCTGTGTCCTGTGCCTGATTCCATCCTACTGCTACACACAGACGTATGACAGAATCACGCACCATTGTAATGGAGTCAGCAGGCACGTCCATTCCTTCAAGCTCAGTGGAGGAACGCATCCAGCAGCACTCGACCATGCTACAAACTTTGGGCACAGCTATGGATCGAGTCCTGAACACTATGGAGCGATGGGAGAGAGGAGGTTTCCCAACATCTCCTCTCCCTCCAATTCCCCCCACGTCGCTGTCCACCCATTCTAACACTGGTTCCAGTGGGATTCGGCTCTCGCTCCCGAGGGCATATGATGGAACAGCTGGCAACAGCTGCTCCAGGTGGAGCTCTACCTGGCAACCATCCACCCGGCTCCCTCGGGATACGAAAGCATGTCCGCCCTCATTTCCTGTCTGTCGAGGAAAGCACTCGAGTGGGCCAACGCGGAGTGGGGAGGTATAGATGCGGAGTCTGTGCGCTATGAGGACTTTACCCGCCGTTTCCGGGCTGTATTCGATCATCCACCGGAGGGGAGAGCGGCAGGAGAGTGGTTGTTCCACCTCAGACAGGGGAAGAGGAGCGCACAGGACTTTGCATTGGACTTCAGAACCTTGGCAGCCAGCGCGGGATGGAATGAGAGGGCCCTGATAGACCACTACCGATGCAGCCTACGGGAGGACGTTCGTCGGGAGCTGGCCTACAGGGACACCACTCTTAACCTGGACCAGCTGATAGACTTATCTATCCGGCTGGATAACCTGTTGGCCACCCGCGGACGTCCGGATCAGGGTCCTTCCAGTCCATCCCTCAGCACTTCCAAACCTACAACCATGGAGCTTGGAGGTGCTGATGTAAGGGGGACCGGTAAGGGGACTGTTTCCTGCACCAACTGTGGCCGCAGAGGGCACACTGCTGGTCGGTGCTGGAAAGGGTCCTCAGGGAGTCAAGGCAGCAGGCCTTGGATAGTCGCCCTTTAGGGTCGGGCCTGATTAGGGAGGTTACAGCTCCACTCCGGATGGAAATGCAGGAGGGTCATGAGGAGAGAATCAGTGTCACGCCCTGACTCAGGGGACGGTTATTTGTTGAGTCAGGGTGTGTATATTTCGTGTTGTGTTTATTTCTATGTTTAGTTTCTAGATCATTTAGATCTATGTTGGCCAGGGTGGTTCCCAATCAGAGGCAGCTGTAGCTCGTTGTCTCTGATTGGGGACCATACTTAGGCAGCCGTTTGGCACCAGTCTGTGTGGGATCTTGTTCCGTAAAGGTATGTTATTTGTCTACCTTGGACTTCACGTTTCGTTTGTTCTTTTGTCGTGTGTTCAGTACGGAAATAAATATGAATGCATATCACGCTGCGCCTTGGTCCTTCTCGTCGTTAATGAACGATCGTGACAATCAGTCTCTTCCTGATCGATTCTCCTGCGTTTCCCGTGGTGCTGGGGCTTCCCTGGTTAGCCACTCATGACCCCAATGTTTCGTGGCAACAGAGGGCTCTCAAGGGATGGTCACGTCAGTGCTCGGGGAGGTGTGTAGGTGTTTCCGTAGGTGCAAGAACGGTGGAGAGTCCAAACCAGGTCTCCACGATGCACATTCCCCCCGAATATGCCGATTTGGCTCTCGCCTTCTGTAAAAGGAAGGCAACTCAATTACCACCCCATCGACAGGGGGATTGTGCGATAAATCTCCGGGAGGGCGCTGCACTTCCTCTGAGTCACGTATCCTCTGTCACAGGAGGAGACGGCGGCTATGGAAACATATGTCTCAGAATCTCTGGGACAGTTCTCCACTTCCCCTGCCTCCTCAAGTTTATTTTTTGTGAAGAAGAAGGATGGAGGTTTACGCCCGTGCATTGACTATCGAGGTCTCAATCAGATAACTGTAAAGTACAGTTACCCACTACCTCTCATTGCTAGTGTGACGGAGTCATTGCACGGGGCGCGCTTCTTCACCAAATTGGATCTCAGGAGCGCGTACAATCTGGTGCGTATCCGGGAAAGGGATGAGTGGAAGACGGCATTTAGTACCACCTCTGGGCACTTTGAGTACCTCGTCATGCGGTACGGGTTGATGAATGCTCCCTCAGTCTTCCAATCCTTTACACACGTCTTCTGGCACTACGGGTACCTGAGGATATAGTGTCTGATCGGGGTCCCCAGTTCACATCAAGGGTCTGGAAGGCGTTCATGGACCATCTGGGGGTCTCGATCAGCCTAACCTCAGGGTTTCACCCCGAGAGTAATGGGCAGGTGGAGAGAGTAAACCAGGATGTGGGTAGGTTTCTAAGGTCATATTGCCAGGACCGGCCGGGGGATTGGTCAGTTTACATCCCCTGGGCAGAGATGGCACAAAATTCCCTCCGCCACTCCTCCACTGACCTGTCTCCCTTTCAGTGTGTACTAGGTTATCAGCCGGTCCTAGCACCATGGCATCAGAGCCAGATTGAGGCACCTTTGGTGGATGAATGGTTTCGGCGCTCGGAGGAGACCTGGAACACTACTCATGTACGCCTGCAAAGAGCTATCAGGCGACAGAAGGCGAGTGCCGACCGCCACCGCAGTGAGGCTCCGGTGTATGCACCGGGGGACCGGATCTGGCTCTCGACCTGAAACCTTCCCCTTGCCTGCCCTGCCAGAAGCTGGGTCGGCGGTTTGTGGGGCCCTTTAAAGTCCTGAGGAGGTTGAACGAGGTTTGTTATAGGTTACAGCTCCCCCCTGATTACCGTATTAACCCCTCGTTCCATGTGTCTCTCCTCAGGCCGGTGGAAGCTGGTCCGCTCCAGGAGTCTGAGGTGCGGGAGTTTCCTCCGCCACCATTAGACATCGAGGGGGCACCGGCGTTCTCGGTCCTTTCCATTCTGGATTCGAGGCGTCGGGTGGGGGGGCTGCAGTATCTCGTGGAGTGGGAGGGGTAGAGTCCGGAGGAACGGAGCTGGGTTCCCAGGAGGGACATCCTCAATCCCTCCCTGTTGAGGGAGTTCCATCGTCGTCATCCGACTCGCCCTGCTCCACGTCCTCCTGGCCGTCCCCGAGGTGTCAAGTGGGGGGGGTACTGTCACGAATTCAGCCGAGGCTGCCCCTCCTCCTTGCTCGGGCAGGCTTCGGCGTTCGTCATCACCGGAGTAGTAGCTGCCACCGATCGATGTTTTCTGTGTTACACTTGTCTTGTCTGTATTGACCACACCTGTTACCCATTATGTTAATTTGTTTCCCTATTTTACCCTCTGGTTCCCTCATGCTGTTATGCGTGATTGTTCGTTGTTTTGCTGTATTTTGGTATGCTGGTATTTGCTCTTCCCTGAGTGGAGGATTTGCTCTGCTATTTTGTTCCATTAAAGAACTTCGTTTTTATAGTTCTGTGTCCTGCGCCTGATTCCATCCTGCCGCTACACACAGACGCATGACACCACAACTTTGTCCCTGACCTGTTTGGAGAGCTCCTTGGTCTTCATGGAGCCGCTTGCTTGGTGGTGCCCCTTTTTTAGTGGTGTTGTAGACTCTGGGGCCTTTCAGAACAGGTGTATATATACTGAGATCATGTGACAGATCATGTGACACTTAGAATGCACACAGGTGGACTTTATTTAACTCATTATGTGACTTCTGAAGGTAATTGGTTGCACCAGATCTTATTTCGGGGCTTCATAGCAAAGGGGGTGAATACATATGCACGCACCACTTTTCCGTTATTTATTTGTTAGAATTTTTTTGAAACAAGTTATTATTTTCATTTCACTTCACCAATTTGGACTATTTTGTGTATGTCCATTACATGAAATCCAAAATAAATAAATGTATATTACAGGATGTAATGCAACAAAATAGGAAAAACGCCAAGTGGGATGAATAATTTTGCAAGGCACTGTAGATAATAAACAGAGAGTAGCAGCAGCGTCCGGGTAGCCATTTGATTAGCTGTTCAGGAGTCTTATGGCTTGGGGGTAGAAGCTGTTAAGAAGCCTTTTGGACCTAGACTTGGGGCTCCGGTACCAAGCGGTGATGTACTGTGCTGTACGCACTACCCTCTGTAGTGCCTTGTGGCCGAGCAGTTGCCATACCAGGCGGTGATGCAACCAGTCAGGATGCTCTCGATTGTGCAGCTGTAAAACTTTTTGAGGATCTGAGGACACATGCCAAATCTTTTCAGTCTCCTGAGGGGGAATAGGCTTTGTCGTGCCCTCTTCACAACTGTCTTGGTGTGTTTGGACCATGATAGTTTGTTGGTGATGTGGACACGAAGGAACTTGAAGCTCTCAACCTGCTTCACTACAGCCCCGTCGATGAGAATGGGGGCGTGCTCAGTCCTCCTTTTCCTGTAGTCCACAATCATCTCCTTTGTCTTGATCACGTTGAGGGAGGGGTTGTTATCCTGGCACCACACAGCCAGGTCTCTGACCTCCTCCCTATAGGCCGTCTCATCGTTGTCAGTGATCAGGCCTACTACTGTTGTGTCGTCTGCAAACTTAATGATGGTGTTGGAGTCGTGCTTGGCCATGCAGTCATGGGTGAACAGGGAGTATAGGAGGGGACTAAGCATACCCC